ACTAGGATCCAAAGAATGGAACCAGGTTATTCCAAAGGTTTTATTTGGGTTGAAAACCCAAATATGTTTTGTTTTAGCCATTAGGTAAGAACTAAGACCCTGAGCTCACACAATCCTTAGGTCTCAGTTCCTTTGATACCGTAAAATAAGGTGTTGGGCACCAAAGACACTCCACTTGGAACTTGTTTTCTTCTTGGCAAAACTGGCCTTTAGGCAAAGAACTGCCCATGCCTTGACCACTGACAAAAATGCATGGTGTCCGGACTGAACAAGCAGGATAAGAGAAAAAAGACTGTCAAACCTTGCCGGGACAGGGTAAGATGGTTCTGAAAATTTTCCTGCCTCTGAAAATGGTCTGTCAGTTACTCTAGGCCTTAGCCAAAGTTGATTGCCCCAATGTTGCAAATAAGACTTTGGGTGATTGCCCAGGTAGCCAGTTGTCTCTGTCATTTGTTGCACATTTTTGAAGTTGCTTGATTGCATTTCCTGCTTACTCAAGTAATATTATTTCTTTTCTCAGGTCTTTGATGGAGTTAAAGACTAAATAATCATAGTTACTTTCCTCTCATAACTTAGCCAAGCCATTTCTAACATAAGACTTAGACTCCTTAAGATATGGTAACTATTTAAACATTTAGCATCTATTTCTTGTTTGATATTGTTTATGCTGGTTGTAATTCTAAGTTTTATACTTGATATTTGTTCTTATTGTATATAGTTTTGTTTTAGACTTAGAACTCTTTTATTTTAGATAAAAAGGGGAGGTACTGTGGGAGTTCCTTCAGCCAATAGCTTTTAAGATACTGGCTCACTCTGGTCATGGCCACATGTACTATATATACAGATGTAAAAGCATGCACAGCCCCTTGACTGCTGGATTTGGTTCCTGTTCCCCACTTGTGAAGAGGACTGCTGATCTGTGAATCTGCCCCTAAATAAAGAGACCTTTATTATACTCCATTCTGAGCTAGTGTGGGACTACTTTATTATAATCAAGAACAATAAGGCTTGTTTTTAATATATCTAGATGACATGTACAACAAAGACCTCTGAATAAAAACAACAGAACACAGAACACAGGTTAAAGGGCATAATAAAAAAGAGAGCAGGGAACTAGAGAGGTGACGTGCAAAGAACCCAAGTTCACTTCCCCTATCCACACTGTGCAGCCTACAACTGCCTGTACTCAGACTCCAGGGACCCACTCCTATGGCCTCTGTGGGCACCTGAATTCATGTGCGCATATCACACATAGACATGTAATTTGAAAAATAATAATGAATAAATTTCTTTTTAAAGAGAGAAAGAAAAGCTGGCCAGACTGCCAGTTCATGACAACTTTGTGGCCCTGAAGTAGGTGGAATGCACGAGAAAGTCTTAGGCATCCCACATCCACAACCAAAGAATGGGCAACCCATAGCCCCGCGGCCTCTCCACTCAATTTATGCTAAAAGCAGTAGAAGCAATTAAGCTTCTTGCTTACTCCAGACCTTTCTGCAGGCAGGAGGGATGTAGATACTCTAGCAAGCACTCAGACCTTTAATTTACATGTCTCCCTTGCTACTGTGGTGTGGGTAGGACATGGTCAGGGGTGTGGATTCACATTCGGAGCCACCACGGGATGAAACCCAGCGGCACTCAAGCCTGACTGCAAGGCCTCAGTCCCACTCCTCAGTTAAAAGGAGGCCGCTTGCTCTTTCTTTTCCTCTGAACTTGAACATGCTGAGAGAAATAGACTCCAAAGAAGCCACCTGGGCCTTTTCCTGGTGAATTTATACATTTTAAAGCCAAATCTGACAAGTAAGAACATTTTGCCACATGTGGGGATTTTTTTTTTAACCACTACCAGGTTTTAAGCAGAGCCAAGAGGTCTCACACATACAAGACCTATGTGGTGCCAATAGGAGCGCGGGCTGGGACAAGTGAAGGTCTGAATGACATCTCAACAAAGGCAAAGAGAGGAAAATCAGAAAAGCGTGAACAAACAAATAATAAAAACTATGGGCAGTAGAGCATTCAGGTGCACGTCCTTCCCAGTTGCACTCAGAGATAAGTGTTTATACAAAACACTTGAGTCTCCTGGGTCTTCAACATGAGCGTGGCTGGGCTGAAGCGATGGCCCAGTAGCTAAGAGCATCTGTGCCCAGCACCCACATGGTGGCTCACAACAATCCATAACTCTAGTCCCAAGGGATGTAAAGCTCCCTTCTACCTCTACAGGCACCAGGCACGCCATACATACATGCCGGTCAAGCACCCATTTACATAAAAGAAAACAAATGGATCTAATAGTGGATTTCTTTTAACACGCATGGCCTTTAGTCAAGCACTTCCTGTCATAGGACTCTACTCTGAGGAAATGGTTACAGGTGTAAGCAGCAGCTAAGATGCAGGTTCCCATGGAAACATCATTTGTAACAGAAAATGCTGCGAAGAACTATAATCTCTAACATATAAGGGAATGAATTTTCAGTTAGGATGGAATTTTATGAAGCTATGAAATCAGGAAACAGACATGACTTCACAGGCAGAGGAACATGTGAAGGATGGATGCTAAGTGCCGTTAATGTCTGAGCACCTGTCTACGGTGGGTGGAGCTCATTAAGCAGACACAGGCTTTTTACATCATAAAGTTGATGACTGACAAGCATCCTCAGCGGTTAGGGAAGCGTTGAGGGGGCCACGATACTGAAGAGAAGCGTAAGGTACCGGGCGTGGGTGGCAAAGGGATCTGAGTAAGTCTGGAGGAGCCACGCGAGACTCCACTAAGGCACTGATGCGTGAGTCATAATGAAGGATGGAGAGGAGCTGGGCAGAATGGAAGGGGAAAAGAAAATATTCCAGATTAACAGCAACTTTTAAATACATTTTATTAAAGCATGGCTATCCAAGTATATGTGAACCCACTTATTTTGAAAGCTGTGCTGCATATGTACATGTCTATAAATAGAACATCGGAAAGAATGGTCACCTAAATGCAGTAGTACACGGGTTTATTTTAATTTTTTTACTTTATGTTTGTTCCCATTCTCTGATCTTTATATCTGTAATCAATGCGTGTGGAAGGTATTTGGATGGGTAGGAGGAAGGGTGAATAAAAGATGAGGGGATGGACGGTCACCGGGGCATGAGGAGGGCTTGAGCAGGGAGATTTGTTCCTCTTGGTTCTCTCCTCCCTTCAGGTACTGCCGAGATCTGTCCTAGGAGCACACGCGCCCACAACTGTGTCTGCTCTCTAAGACATTTCTGCTACCCACAGGCCTGTTTGTTGGAGCCAAAAGTTTAATTCATTATATTTCTGAGCCGATTCCTCTGTCAGTGCTGAACTAACAAAACCATGCATACAAAGAGTGCCTGGCTAGGCTGCATATTGAAACTGTGGCCGAATAACTATTGGAGAGAGATAAATTCTTCCAAAATGACTAGTTGCAGGTGAAGGAAAGAGGCGGAAGGAAATAAGGCTCTTATGGCTAAAGTTTGAGGCCACTCTAAAGAGAGGACAGTGAGAGCCCCAGGTGGTGAGCACAGCTGCTCTGAAGGGAGGA